CACGGCGGCATCCTCCGTACATACGAGTCGGGCGCTCTGCTGAGCACCGCCGCAACGCACAACTTTGGAGAGCTCCTCCGGGCGGGCTTTTGTCGTGTCGTTTCACCTCCTGCCGCGGGGGACGGTGTACGTAGCTCTGGCGCTGCGGCGGTCACGTGCAACGCCGCACGTGCCCCCTCCGGCCAATCCGAGCGCCTCTTGTCGGCGGGAGAATCGAATGAATAGTGGGTATACGTTCTATTATCATTCTATCCCTTTGTGGGCCCCCTCCACATCCTCCTCGAGCCTGAGCCGGAGGAACAGACCACCATGGTCAAGGTAAGGTGAGCTCGGCTGCTCGCGGCGGAGCGCTCCGGTGTGAATGCCGCTCTGCTTTTGTTGCGGCCGCGCCCTCACTGTTAAAAGCTTTCAGTTATTTTTACCGTAAGCTACAGTGAAAGCCTGCAACACTGTAGCTTACGGTCTTTTTCACTGTTAGCTACGGTGAATTTCACTGTGAGCTACGTTGAATCTCACCGTAAAGTACGGCGAATCACACCGTAAGCTACAACAGTGCAGCAGGCTTTCACTGTAGCTTACCGGTGAAAATCACTGTAAGCTTTTAACAGAGCTCTTTGTGCGCGAGAGGCACGCGTCGTTATTTTGGGTCGGAAAGCAGGGGGCGGCGATGAGATGACATCATGGGGCACAATCACTCGCACATCGTTGTCTGAATTTTCAAACGACTCCCTCTCGCTCATCAGGGACATTTTGAGTTTCGTTTTGGTATTCACTTTGCGTCTAGCTCTGGAGCCAAGCTCCGCCGCTCTGTGCATTGGCAATTAATCCATGTAGTGCTGTGCGGGGCGCTTGTGTGTGTTGGGAAAGGGGTGCGGGAGGGTAGAGGGGTCGCCAAGGGCAGTATGAGCGTCGGGCCCTTTCGTGTTACGCTGCGTGGTTTTTATGCGTCCACGGAAATAAACAAAAATAATTAGCTAAAATAGCTAAGCTAATGCATCCGCTAATTTTATTAGCTACATAATTAATATTAACTCGCTTAGGCCTAGCTAATTCTTTGCTAAGAGCTCACATTTTAACGTACATAGTTAGCTCCATTTTTTTCGAGGCAGCTTTTGTGGCCAATTTAGCTAAAAAAACACCCACCGACGTGCGGTCTGCCCTGTGCTGTCAGGAGAGAATTCTTCTGGTAGAGACAGTCGTTTAGTCGTAGGGACTGTCTAAATATTCGTGTAGTTCGTGTGGCCCTGCTCACGGCAGCAGCAGATGTAGCTGCAGCGCTCTTCAGAGGGTCTGTAGGGTCTGTAGCGCTGGTCTGCGCTAGTCCCCCGACGCGGACGCGGTGGTTCCGAGCTGCTGCTGACGCCTGGCCGCCCAGGAGTCCCAGCGCGGCCCTTCCAGTCGCCTCCAGTCCTCCGGCGGGTCTGCAGTCCGCTCTGTCGCACGGCGCCGAGCTGCCGTCGGAATGCTCCGACCGCTATTTGCTTTATGAATAAGGTATAATGCATACCTTCCACGCCCAGCTTGACTGGGGCGACGGCTCATCTTGAGGGGGGGGGGGTAGCGCGAGTCGGCCTGTAGGGAGCTACCTGAGGGGGAGAGAGAAATAGAGAGACAGACAGACAGAAAGGGGGGGCTCACGTCGCAAAGAGAATGACGGAGGAAGCCTAGAGGGTAGGTGTTAAAGTGGACGGGGAAGACACGCCGGCGTATGGAACTGAGCCGTGCTCTCAAAGTGCCGAGGGGGCCGGCAGCGCGCCCGGGCCTGTGCGCGCGCGCGCGTCGCCGCACCGCATGAGCCGTGAGCTCACTCCATCAGCGTGCTGTCTGTCTGGACGGTCCAAAGTTTTCGCAAAGCCACCGCACACGACCTCTGTGCGCAGTGTTTGGCGGGCGGGGGCGTCTAGCTGCTGCGGCTTGAGCGAGACGTGCGGCCCCACCCCGCACCGCCCCTGCTCTCCGCCCCGCAACGGGAGCGGTATGCTCTCCGTGAGCGCTCTGCCGCCCCCGCCCCCTCCCCGCCCGCCCCTTCGGTCCGTGTTCCACACATTTCTCTACCCTCCTCGCCACACAAGGGGCTCTAATCGCTCCCCCACCCCTCATGGTTTCATGACATGAATGGGAGAGTGTGTACAAAAGTATCTATGGGGGGTGAGAAGGGGAAAGGGGGGTGGGGGGTAAGGGTCGCACAGAGATGTTATCGATGGCTGTGAGAGAATAGGGCCGTGTGAACAAGGCCTCCGGGGAGCCCACCGCCACCGCCGCTGCCGCTGCTGCTGAATCTTACATCTTCTATAAAAGCTGTTTCTAAAGGAGAGGAGGCGGGGGAACGTGGAATTATGTATCTGCACTCCGACATTACTCGCCTCTTCCCCGCTGCAGATTTAGGCCTCTCCAAAAGCGTTCCACCGGCGGAGTTAATGTGCCTCCATGATGGGCCCCGCCGCGCCCCCACCCCCTCTGGGGGGTCCCCGCGTGGGGGACGGGGGAGTGCACGGTCACTGCTCGCCCCTTTAGTTAGTAATACTTTCATTTAAAATTTCTGATATTAGCTCCCACGCCAGCCGTTTTGCCGACCCATTCCCGGTCGCTTTAAACTTGCACGCGCTCCGCCGCGCTCCCGGGTGGCCGCACCGATGATGGCGGTGCCCCGCGCCGCTTCAATTTATTCTCTCTCATTTACACTTGACTCGCCTCTGATTGCAGATTGCTGAACAACAACCACCTGGTCCGACTCCAGAACGGCATGTTCAACGGCCTGTCTGAGCTGAGATACATGTAAGTCGCATGAACATGACATTTTTGCCTTTTTCCTCTGGTCGTCGTTAACATTTTTGTGGCTGAGTAAAATTTGGCTGTTGCGTTTCTCCCTCTCAAACGCAGGTTCCTGTACAAGAATCGCATTCGCGAGATCGACAGCAAAGTTTTCCGAGGGGTTCCGAAACTCGAGCAACTGTAAGTACTTGTTGGGCCCTGGCGATGCGCCACTGCCCCGCCACAGAGATATGCGCTGTCGTTGTTTCATTTAATGTTGTGGACCCCCCACACAGCCAGGACGACATCATTCTTCTCGATCTGTCAAGGCTTGTACGACATCACTATCTCTTTGCCTGTGATTGATGCGCTGGTTGAGAAATACAGAGACAATTATTATTACCGATCGCCGCAGCCCTGCCGCCGCCAACCCTGCTGCTGCTGCTCCGTTCTGCTAGCCGTCCTTGAGTCCGTCAACGAGCGACTTGAAAAGTCTCCCGCGGCATTCAATTAGCCTGGTGGCCACAATGAGCAGCTGACTCGCGCACAGCTTTAATTTTTGTGGCTCGGCAGCGGCCCAGCAGCAGCGGGTGGCCCGCACACCACCCGTCCGTCCATTGGCCCAAAAGCTTGATTGAGAGTGGCAGTGACGGAGCGTCACTTTGTCTTTGCGCTCCGCTCTGCTCCGCGCGCCGCGCGCCGCGCGCTCCTCGAGGCCGTGGGAGTCTTGTCTATCGCCGCCTCTCGGCGTAGATTGGGCCAAACCGCTGCTTGTTGGGGGAGTCGGAGGCGCCACAAATAATTAATTATTCCATTTAAAAAAGAATAGTTTTTGACAAAAATTTAACATAACGTGGCGCTGCATGATTTCACTTTCAGGGCCTTGTGTACAGATCTTGGCGTGAACTGGAGACCTAATATTGCTTCCTGGGAGCCGCTCTGCTACTCGGCCCGCTGCTGCCCCACCGGGCCTGCCTCTTCGTCCTCGCTGAAAGCTTCCAGTTCTGAACATGTTGCATTTACCTTCTGCTTTCAGATACCTCCATTATAATGAGCTCGAAAAGATTGCTCCAGACACATTTTCAGCTATGCCTTCGTTGCAACGATTGTAAGTAGCAAGGTGAACTGTGCATCGGTCATTTGAGGCGGAGACTTTGCTGTATGTGTGAATTGCTGCTTTCTGTTTTCGTCCCGTTACTATTGGAACCTGTGTCTTTCTCAGAATCAGCTTTTACTTTAAATAGAACGATGTGCATGGCCGTGGCCAATCCTCCTGAAATACAAAGTAGCCCACTGTAGCGAGGGGCCAGTGCACTGGGACGTGTCTCCGCCCCAAATGACATCTCTTCCTCGCCAGCTGTAGTTTGGTCGCTTCCAGCCGCACCACCTCCACCCGACCCGGATGGCGCCCCGCCGCACTGCGGGCCTCAGGGGCTTGCACACGTTGAGTGACCATGTTAGCTCACATGCACACACGCCGCCTGCTTTGCAGATATCTTCATTTCAACAAGATAGACAGGATTCCAGGCCTGGCCTTCCTAGAATTGCGGAACCTTGAACGACTGTGAGTCCCTAGCGCAAAAGCTTGTTTGACGAGTGATTGCATGGTCGTTCATCTTCCTTTTCATTGATCATGCTCTTAACCGAGGGTTTTGGAGTGTTGCGCTCTTTTCCACTTACATGGTGTACATGTTTCTCCTCTGTCTGGGAAGCTTCCCATTTAATCAAAATAGAATAGGCAACTTAATAGAATAGGTTTGAATTTACATTAAACATTCAACGTTAAATGTACTGAACAATAAGATTGACGATCTATTGTTTCCCTGGTGAACGGAATGAGGAAAGGTTCTAGCCCACTAAATGAAAACTGCAACACAGATAAAATAAGTGTGCAGAGCCGAATTGAACGATTCCAGTGTACGCAAAGTTGAAGTCTTACAAATATTCAACTTGCACTTTAATTCTTACAAGTTGTCAGCAGTAGCACGCTTAATTTATTGCCCATCCAGATTGGATGCAAATTCGTTCCTAAAACTAGACAAAAGTGTTCCACAATTTGTCCAGTATTAGGAAGAAATTTGTATCCGGTATGGATGTGCTCAGAAACGTTCCCGCCTAAGGAACAAATTTGTTCCTTTACAATTAGAGTTTAGGATACTAATCAACTTATGCAGTGCATGTGTGGTGCATGATGGTTTGGTTTTGGTTATACAGTAGCTCGCCCGACTCCCATGGTTTCGAGGCACATGGTTGCGACACATCATTTGGGCCAAACGATTTCGTTGTCTGTGGTCCTTGGCCAGTTTTAAATAAGGCTCTCAACAATAATAAAGGACTTCGTTTAACACACTTCAAGTGTGGTTCGGCCTGAGAAAGTAACTACACATTGATCATGCCGCACTCGATTTGCTAAAAAGAAATTTGAGTGAACTAATTTTGGTATTGGATGGTGGTGGTGTTGGCGTTGGAAGTTATAAGTATTTAACCTGAGCATGACTATCTGAGTGACTCGATGTTTGCACGAAAGGTTGTGTTTAGATAGACTCGTGATAGATGTGTGTTTATGGCCGCCCCTTCTGACTGACTTTTCAGTTTGTCACGGCAACTTTTACTATAGACCTTTTTAACGCTCCTTTGAAAAATGCCGCGTTTGCTTCTTGTTAGCGCGCCGCCCGTGATTTTCGTTTTTTTTATTCGCTCGCAAATTTTATTTCACTCGGCTTGCTTTCGTAGTCGTCCGCTCCCCTCATTTTCCCCTTAAGCTGTTTTTTTTTCCTCTCCCCTGCGTCGTCTCCCCTTTGATTCCTCGAGCCCCCTCCACTCACTCCTCTGTTGCCAAGCTCCTCAGTAGCACTGCACTGGACGCCCCCCAGTGGGGCCCCCACCCCCCTCATGGTCTCTTGTGCTTAATGCCCTTCGAGGTGGGCGGATGCCTCTGTCCGTATTTCACCCCCGCCCCCTCCGCGCGTCGCTCTTTTTTCTTCCTCTTGATTGCAAGCCAAGGGTCCCGGGGCCGTGCCTCTTCTTTGCGTCGCCCAGGTTATATTGAATAGCCCCGGCAGAAGCCCCGGGAGAAGAGCCGGCAATGATAAAGAAAACAAACAAGTCGAGTTGAACAAAATTGCCTTGGCACTCATTCCGGGCACTGTACCCGAGCACTCTCGAGGGGGGGTTGGGTTGACACCAAATAAGGCCCTCTGCGCTGGGGTTAGGAGGGAGGAGTGGGGGGAAAGCAGGGCCCGAAGTCATCTCGAAACAATAACACAGTACAGCGATAGTACAAACGAGCGGCCTTGCTTCACTGATTTCGCGGCAATGGGGTGCAGAGTTGGGGGTAAGGGGGCGCGGAGGCCGTCGGGCTCAGTACAGCGATAGTACAAACGAGCGGCCTTGCTTCACTGATTTCGCGGCAATGGGGTGCAGAGTTGGGGGTAAGGGGGCTCGGAGGCCGTCGGGCTCAGAAACTGAATAATACAGAAGGGGGTGGGAAGGGGGTGGGCGTTGATTATATGCAGGCGAGGGGGGTTTCACTGCCAATTCCGCTCGCTGTATCTGACAGGGCAAGAAGCGAGAAGAAGAACCCTCTTGTATGCAGCGGCGCTACTCTTGGCCGGCCCGCCCCGGCGGCTGCGGGGGTGGGTTTACCTCCTCGTCCGTGCGGCTGGATGAAGAGGAGAAAGGTCGCGGCTGGGGTACCGCCGCACCGTGCCACGACCCAGCCCGGGGTCGGGTTTCCGGAAAGTCCAGACTGTTGGTGGACTGGTCAGGACCCGTCGGGGGTGGAGACTCGCCATGCTGGCCGTAATACACCCAGAAAAGTGGATTCTTGATTTGAGTTCCGGTGCTTGACAAGTTGAGGACAGGTACTTGTTTTGAGAATATTTTACTCAATTTGATCTAAAGAAATTCTTAAACCAAGTCCTGGGCCTCAACTTGTCAAGTACCGTACTCAAATCAAGTATCCACTTTTTTGGGTGTAGAAATGAATTCAAACATTGTATCATTTTCATTTCGTTATTTTATTAGGCACGCGCAACAAAGACTGTAAATATTTGTTTTATTCACTACAAATGCCAAATTAAATGTTAGAAAATTGGATTATTTTAAAACAATAATTTAGAGTTACCTAGTACCGACCGTGCGTCATTGACGGATACAGAAGTTTTTTGAAATCTCATTTGAAATTTGTGAAGGGCATCCATGGTCAGGTGCGCATTTTGCTTTATAGTGCGTCTACGCCGGTGAGGGCTGCTCCTGCCACAGCTTTTGTTCCTTTCTTTCATTTGCATTGCAGTTTACCTCTGGGTTCGATTAGCGGAACTTAATATTCTCTGCGCTCCGCCTATACGCCGGAGCACAGCAAATAAGGTTTTGCGTTTCTCACCTACCTTCCTCTTCGCCTTCCTCATCTTTTGAGAAAGTAATCCTCTGCCTGTGTGCCTTGCAGGTTCCTCCACAACAACAAGCTACGGACCATCCCCCCGAGTGCCTTCAGGAATCTACAGTCGCTCAAGAGGATGTAAGTGTTTTATGAATGAGTTCTCCTTTCTTAACCTGTCGTGCCTTTGCGTTGATTCTTGATTGCCTTTCCCAGCAGTATTTCTGCTAATCGATCTGCAAGTAACGCTCGTCGCTGTCAGACCCCCCTCCCTCCCCACCACTCTCGCATGCAAATCTCTGCGTGGCCCTCCTCCTACTGCTACCCCTCCGGCGCATAGCTGCAACCAGCAGCATGCTTCCAGCCTACGGGCCAACCCGCGTCAGATCATTTCTCCGCCCGTTGGGTAGGGCAGTTTGTGCTACAATCAACCTGGAAGATACTGCGAAAAATAAGGGAAATGCTTTGTTCCGCGCCTCAGCCTTTCTTATACGGAGGTCGGTTAGATCTTGGAGGAGCCCAGAGCCTCCACGCCGGCCTGCTCACAGCTCTGGAGCACGCTGAAGGGTAGGATTGGAAATTTCCAAAAATTTCCGGAAGTTTTTCGAAAAATTCCCGAAAATTTCCGGTAATTAACCATCAACTTTCATAGTCTGGGAAATTTTCAATATTTCCCCGGAAATTTTCCGTTTTTCCCGGAAATTTTCCTGATATTTTCCGGAAACTTTCCCGAGCGTCCAACTCTACTGGAGAGTGCGGGGCTCCCTGGCTCCGCCTTTGCTCGCAACTGGAGCGAGCAGGAGAAGGGGGGCGCGTCCACGCTAGCGCGGGTGGAGAGCCTGGAGCCTGCTCTGCACTGGCTCAAAGGGGGCGCAGGGAGGTGTCGGGCAGACTTCGGGAGGGTGAGGAGAGGGAGGGAGGGTAGTAGAGAGTTTGAATGGAGCGGCGCTAAATCCTGTCGCCGGTCCTGTCGGGCGGGCTGCTGTTAGAACACTGTGCACCTCCCTTGCTGCTCCGGTGCGCACACTGCCCGCCGCCCCCTCCCCCTGCAGCACCTTCTTCTTCTCCCTACACCGGACTAGTTTTCTCCTCAAGTTGGCCGGCGGCGCCACGGAGTGTATAAATGTACCCCGGGCCAGGTCACGGTGCGTTTGCACTGCGCCCCGCCCCGCCACAACTCGAGAACCTTATCAAGGTATTTCCTGGTGAACGCCTTGAGCCTGACCCCGCGGGGAGGG